TTTCTGCTTTTACGCATCTAGTTCGTAGCTGACCTGGAGCTGGGCTGAATCTCAGCAGTTCCCCTTCAGCCTGAAATGGTGCAGGTGGGCACACCTCCCCCATCCTGTGCCACACGCAGGAGACGTGGGTTGGTAATGAGACACTCACAGGATCGAACACATACTTTGACGAATGTGATTTTGAAGTTAACGTTACAGATATCTTAGGATGGTCTCCAGTCCTCTGCAGAAGGGGATTATAATGGTTCTGACTCAAACCTACTGACAGTTAATAAAAAGCCATGTAAATATTATCCATGTGGGGCTGCAGCATACTCTTGTATCCTTCTTTCAGCATCCTTCATTCTTACACAATTCTGAAATTTTCATTATCAGACGGTCAAATACGTAAGACTAGGAACACTAGACTTCGTCACTGAAAGTGGTTCTGACGGTTCCCTGATTCGTCCATTTCCTTCGAGAAGCACACGTGGCGTTCTAACTGTGCCAGCAAGCCTGAGGGGTCCTGGCAGGACAGGGCTCCTCGGCTGACAGCCTCTCTGGGTCCTACGGCAAACGCAGACACAGAGCGGCCGGGTAGCGAGGGCACCGGGGTGGTGTGTCTGTTGGGATTATCCACGGACTGATATTTTAAAGCTCCTGTTTGTTCAGAAGGTACCCGTTGTAGCATGAGCTCTCGGAGGAAAATGCGTTCACTGTGGGAGTTCAATGTCTCGAGCTACAGCGGTCCTTGAGTCCATCCTAAAATAACCTTGGGATCAACTTTTCTGCCACAGACCACGGGGTTTTACCATCTTCTTTTTCATGTGTAGCCTTCACAGTGTAAAGGGTACCAGTCACACGCCCAGGGCTGGAGGAACTCTGCCTGTGGAGACGCCCGTGAAACTGCCCACTTGGTTATGACTGCAGACCCAGAAATGTGCTCTGCGCGCGCCTGTCACTGCACTGCCCACAGGGCAGCTGTGACCTGACCTTTGACACTATTGGTAGTTCTGTCGGTTCTTCAAGGTTTGTCTTACCTTTTAATAGGTGATTTTATTAATTTACTACCTATATAAGCAATGAGAAACTATTGCTATGTGGGGGGAAATGATACATTCTTTTTAATATGTTATATGTGTACATATGTAATATATATGTATATTGTATATGTAATACATATGTATATGTGTGTGTGTGTATAGAGAGAGACAGACAGAGAAAGTGAGAGAGAGTGAGAGAGACAGACAGACAGAGACAACACCTAGAGATTGTTAATTTGTACCTGTTATATAGACCAGGCCTAAAACACAAAAACAGAAGTTAAAAACGTCCAACTCGCTAAGTGAGAGAAAACATCATGTTTTCCAGAAACCTGAGAGAACGGCCAAGACCCTAGCCAGTTACAGATAGAGGACAGTCCAAAGCTCATCCCGCCGCAGCTCTCCGAGTGACCCCAGCCACTGCGGGGCAGTCTCGTGCTGAAGAGGAAACCCTTTTGAAAACGAGAGCTCGAGTCCCAAAGCAAGTTACCACGGAAGGCAAGCCGCCGGTCCCGCACGTACCGTGGCACAAGGGCAGGACACGGTTCCAGGCGGGTTTTCCGTCCGCTCCGATCACACACGTGATGGATGAGGGCTCAACAATCTTGTAACCGGAGTCACACTGGTACGTAACGGTGGAGCCAAGCTTGAAATCTGTCCCAATTCTTGTCCCATTCATAATATTTCCAGGGTCAAAACATGCTTCTCGCGGTTTCTCTGCAGAAGAAATGAGTGCAAACTCCGTGAGGGCAGGGATCTTAATTTGTTTGTTGTTTTGTTTGCTTATTATTTGAATGCCAAGAACAGGACCACACATGAGAAATGCTCAAAATATATTTATTGATTGGCTAGTGACCAAGTTGCTAATTATCAAGTCAACAATTACATATACTAGAAATGATTATCATGTTGATAATTATAAAATAATTAAATATAGAGAAATAGGAACAACTTTTTTAATAAAGTTATATTTCTTAGTTTTCAAACCACATTTTACTACAGAATTCCTATTGAATTACTTTCATCTTGGTAACAAAATTGCAGCATTATATTTTTATACATCTATATATTGTTTTGGCTTTGGATTTTAGCACTGAACCAAAGAAAGTGATTATGGGAGCCCTGAGGTTCATTTTGACTTTTGTACTTAAATCACAGTCATGAGGACTCAGGCGCTGGGGGGAGGCCTGGAAGAATCTGATTTCCGAAGAGGAGGCTGGTTTCACCCGCTTCACTCAAGTCAGATAAGCACTTTCTTACGTAGTAGTAACAGATGGACTGACACAGCACCATGGGAGGTCTGCCTTCCGCTCCCCTCCCCTCCCCGAGGCCAAGTGAACACGAAACTCAGCAGAAAATGAGCACTCACTGGTCAGTGAAGGTCAAACACCACATCTGAAATGTTCTAATTACCCAGCAATTCTGTCTTCATTGTAACAGCTCCTCAGTGAATTGCGGGCCTACTGCGTGTCAGGCACACTGTGCGCTTCGTTGTAATCACTGTGCCTCAGCCAGGCAAGCACTGCACCTGGTCCATGTGAGATCTGAGACGCTGAAGCTCCAGAGAAGTTCATAACGCAGAGGAAACACACTGCACAGACCCGTCCTACTGTGTGGTTACTAACTGAGGCGTCCACTACAACGTCTGCTTCCCCAAATACAAACACAGTAATACCTTGGTTTGCGAGCATAATTCATTCTGGAAACAAACTACTCGTATTGCAAGATATTGCTCGTTTACCACGTTAAAATGTATTAGAAATGTTTGCTCGTCTTGCGAACATTCGCAAACCACGCTACTCGCAATCCAAGGCTTTACTGTATGGCGTTATCTTTTCTTCCTTACAGTCCTGTTGCTAGGTAGTTAAATCCAGTTCTCTTTACTATTCTAAATGTCCTGTATCAACAGCCCTCCGCTGAACGATGCGCACAGATTTATTTGGCATTTGCAGCTTCCTCGCTGGGTTGCCTTTTCCTTACGCTTGGCCACGCCCCTCGCTCCATCACCGTCCAGCATCACGTCAGAAGTCTCGGGAGCCGAACCTTACCGATCTGCACATGGTCAATGCAGACGTTGTCGGAAACATCGTCTTCACTTCTGAGCTTAAAATTCTGAAAATACTACTTGGCGTGTGCGCTTGTGTAAGTTGTGTTATTAATGCGAACCTGAGCGGATAAATGAAATACATTTCGGCTCCTTTTTTTCGGGTCCGACACTCTTACCCTGTAGAAAGTTCACTCACGTCAATAACTCCATTGGTTGCAGAGAACCCAGTGTTACTGGTACACATAAATATCTCTGGAAAGTGCGAGTGGAAGGCTGAATTTCATTTTATTTTTGGTTGTGGTCACTGTTGAGACTTTCCTTACTGACTGTCCAGTGTGGGAGGGGCCGGCCAGGGCGGGCCAGGAGCAGACGCACTCTGAACACCTCTCCCCACACGCCGTCCTCCGAGAAATGGGGATACAGGTAGGACAGCACAAAGCACAAGCTCTGGGGGACCCGCAGGAAGGAAAAGGGGCCTATTTCACACTATTTATTCTGTATTTTCCATTGTGTTTTTAGTGATCCATGTACCAGCATCAACCAGAGAGCTCTGGCAACTGTTGACCAAATCTATTACAATAACTTCCTATACTATGTTATTTACATACTTTGGTTAAAATGCAACAGATGTAAGTAAATATCACATTGTATATGGATATATGTTCCATTTTAACCAATTTATAGAAATGTATGCAAATGTGTACACATATTTATGTATAGTACCTATTTGCATATTATATAATTATACAGAATTATAACATAGAATATTATGTACAGTAATATTTTTATATAAAACACTACGAAGCCCCGTCTCAGGCTCCCCATCTGACCACGGTGAGTCTCTCGGCAGGACCTGTGTGTTGCGCTGGGACCAGAGCCCACTAACAGTGTCACCAAATACCCTTAGTATTTCAAAGGGTAGGTGACCTGCTGACAGTTCTTTGTAGCCGCCTTCAAGCCCACCCAGGGCACGGGACATGCGCTTTAGGCGAATCAGGAGCAAACACACGCCACTGCCGGCCCCAGGGCTGCCCCATGCTGTGCCCTCCTCCGTGACCGGCGGAATGCACTGAGCAGCTAGTGGCAGAAGCGCCAGTCTGAGGCACCTTTTTTCTCTTATAAAATATGAGAAACTTGCCAGGCTACATCTGTAATACACGCCTGTTGCCTTGTCGGCCTTTGGGATCACTTTTTGTTATAAATCTTTCGCTTTGTTTACTGTTGGGCTGAATGCCACCTACTTGGCCTTCTGTCGGTCGCTAATCTAGGTTTCTGATGGCGAGATTGTTAAATCCCTCCCAATGAACTGCATCTCATCTTCTGGTTCCACTGGCCAGCTGTCAGTTCAGGATGTGAGGTCATAAATCGCGAGTACGTTTCTGCTTGTAATTTGTCACAGGTGCTAATGAGATGACGTCCTAACACGGTGTGTTTTGCTTGTGCCCATTCCTCTTGAGGACACCTCGGTATCTGTGCTGGAACCCGGGGCTTGACTCTGCCAGGCCCTGAGGGCCTCACTCAGGAGGACTGCCGGCCGCCCCTTCCGCTCCGGGCTGGACCGGGGCTGGCTCTGTGCGGCCTCCTTGGCCGTCTGGGGCCTGGGCTTGAGGGTGCAAGGCGCCGTGACTGTGGTCTCTCCCTGTCTCAGCTGGTTTTACTTGCTCACAGGCCCCACCGGAGAGCTTTTCAAACATTAAGACCTTTAGCCCCATTGACACGACTTTCTGGTCCCCCAAAACCCGAACTAAAGAGGCAGCTCTCTCTTCCTGTCACTGGTCAGGCACGTTGTGCTGTGTTTACTCACTCGTCCAGTGATTCACTTTCTCTAGAAGGTTCTGGAGAAGGCGAGGGGCCAGCAGGCACTGACCAGTGCCCATTCCTGCATTTCTAAGGTGCCTTCTGTCTTTTGGGGGGTTTCTGGCTCATCACGGAGAGGGCCTCGTCATGGAGAAGGGCGCCTCGGGGAGGACTTGCTGAGACAGAAGCTGTGTGATGGGTGGGACGCGCCCGAGGGCTTCCGTTAGTGATTCCTGCACAGGTAGAGCCCAGCCAGGACGCACAGGGGCACCGCTGAGTGCGGAGCTGTCTCGCTTTGTACTGTGGATCTTAATAACATCAGTCTGTTTGTGGATTTAGCTGTTTTGGGGGAAATAGATTAATTTTCTTCTTAAAACCATATAAAGAGGTACGGGTCTATTGAAGAGTTAGCAGAGATAAAACATGTATTTTATTTTATATTTCTAATAATAACTAACTCAAAAGTTTAAATAAATATTTATACATATTCTCATTATTTTTTAGAAAGCAGTCACTGCTGTGCATTGGTTTTTTTTTGTGTGCAACCCTTTCTCTGACTCTTTAAAATTACTTTATGTTTTTTTTGTTCATATGAAAAATGAATTTGAAAAATAAATATTTGTTTCCACAGACCCACCAGCAAAATGCTCCTTGTCCAGCCGACGCCTGGGGTGGTGGGGCAGCAGAGGACAGCGACAGGTGGTTTACACTTAAAACCGTTGAGGTAGAAACTAAGCTGTCTGGACATGCTTACATTTAGTTATCCTAAAGAAATCATTGTAAAAAAGCTTTTACATATATTACATTTGTCACTGCACAAATCCTAATTTATTTTTAATGGCCATGTTTTGTTTTGTTTTTTCCGCTAGGGTAGAAGTTGTCTGGATTCCTTGTCCATTGGACAGATGGGCTCCCTTCCCCAGACAGACGAGGCCACGGCAGCTCTGTGTGTTACACAGACAGGCAGGACTTCATGAAGACACACTTACCGGTCAGATAACGTGTGTACCAACCCATCTCCCCACGGACTAAGCTGAGCGCAGTACCTTTAAACTCGATGGCAAAGCCGGACAAGCCCACGGAGGCATCGCTCCGAAACGCCAGGAAAAGGCTGTTTCCACTGCTCTCAATTCTCTCTGGGGCCTGGGAGCCCTGGAAACTGCCGATCAGAGGGCTGTTGGAGCCGTCGCCCTCGTAGATGTGCAGGAAGTCGTAGCTGGGCTCCATGTTGAAGCTGAGAGCAAAGGATACGGGGGGTTAGCACCTCATGTACAGTCCCCTTACCTCCTCGACTGAGAAGTCTCGGAGCACACGGCGATTTCCTTGCTTTTGTATAATTTTTAAAGGCTAGGACCATTCAAATGTTAAACATAACATAATCAGAACGTCACCATGGCAGTCCTTGTAATGGATGCTGTTACTATTTTGCTATCACCTCTCTGTAGTTGGCAGCATGTTTGGGTAACAGGGTGGACAGTCAGAAGCTTTTATCAGCATGAGCATGTGCTGTTATTTAAGTGGTTCCTGTGTATCTGAAAACTGGAGAGATGAAATGCAAACAGGTCGCTCCCTAAATTGCCCGCGGCGTTCTAAAGGAGTCAGCACGCAGAGACCCCTGAGGACCCCCATCAGTGCTCCGCTGGCACTGCACCACGGCACCCCATGCTGTGTCAAGGCCACACTCGCTCCCATGAGGTCCCTGAACACAGCCGTCCCCCCGGATCCACGGGGGACACTTTCCACGGCCTCCAGTGGATTCCTAAAACAGCAAATAGTACCGAGCCCTATATAGACTGTTATTCCTATAGCTACACATACCTAGGAGAACGCTTAAGGGAATAACAATAACCACGAATAATAAAATAGGACAACTTTAACACTACACTGTAATCAGTCATGAGAACGGGGTCTCTCTCGGTGCAATAACCAATCTGACCACCGGGGAGGCTGCTGAGTGGCTCACGGACGGGGTGTCTACAGCGTGTGACACTGGACAAAGGGACGAGTCACGTCCTGGGTGGGCGGAACGGGACAGGGCGAGGGATTTCACCACGCTACTCAGAGAGATGAGCAATTTAAACCTTATGTATTGTTTATTTCTGGCATTTTCCACTTAATCTTTTCACACCTCAGTTCACTGAAACCGCAGAAAGCCAAACCTGGGGGAGGGACTACTGTATATTCTCTGAAAGGTTTCTTAGTCTGTTGATCTGACAAGCTCCCTGAAGTTAGAAATGAAGGAGTCACATACGGAAGTGGCTAAGTCTGAAGCGCCAACAGGAACTGTATAAGAAAACAGAATTTGATTGGAACAGTAATTTTATCTGGAATACTTTGCAAGGATCTTATGACGTCTGGTCATGCTGCACCCCCAATAACTGGCAGAGCGAATTACGTGTTATTATAGATTATTATTGAACACTGGGAATACACTGAGGCACAGAGAAAAAATCGTATTCTGACGGTCCCAGGGCAGCCGCCTCCCCGACCCAGAATGTTCAAGCTGTTTGTACCTTAGACGAAGTCACAGGTGTGTGATTTTTCTGTGACATTGTATCAGCTAATGATTCATAAAATCTAAGAGTGAAATGAAAACTTAGAGGTTTTCTAGTTCAACCTTTTTCCAGAAACACTTATAAAATAAAGCGGAAACTACTTGTACACACAGGGTTCTCTACAACAGAATGTACTTTGAGAACCTTGATGACGAGTCCCTGAGACGCAGTGGAGGGCAGGCAACCCCAACCACAAGGCGCCATGTTCTCTAGAAGGCTGCTTGCTGTCCATTCACCTTTAATCTCCTGGGACCAGAGGTGCTCCTGGTTTTAAGGAAAACACTGCTGAAACTGAGTGTTAACAAACCCACAAAGATATCCAAAACCACGGCCAGCAGTGGTTTTCTGTAATAGCTGAGGCTGTGATAAAGTGCTCATCACTTGGTAAATTTATAGCAGTTTGAGTAAATTCAGGAAATGATGGCTGATAAGACTGCTTAAAATTCAGAATCGTAGACGATGAAAATGGTACTGACTCAGATCTCATCAGGAGGAGTGAAAGGAGGACATCGCAACCAGGCCTGGGACACTGATGTAAGCATTTCAAGGGAAGGAAACTCATTCAACTGGCAGATAAATAAATGTAACAGGGCCATTCTGTCGCGGGCCGTCACAGACCCATTTCTCTGTCACTCCATGTGGTGCAAACATCACAATGTCAAGTGGGAAAATACCTTGGGGTATTAAAAAACAATTGTCACATACCAGATTTTAATAATATGATAGTTCTGTAGAATTTATTTTTATAAAATGATAATATTTGAGCTTTTCTCATCTACGTAGTTTGGCAAAAAGGAGATAGCAATTTTTTTAAAGACAAATGTCTAGTAATTCAGACTTTACAGCAACGCAAAGTGGGGAGCTTTCGTTTTCAAAGTTCTGACAAGTTGTGCCTGTGTTAATAAGTTCCGCCTTTGGGAAGGTCGGAGGAGATGTCCTGAGGACATGAAACACTATCACACATTTAGAGACATATGACACACTGATGAGAAACCACAGTGAGGGAATCTGTCACTTTTGATTACTGTTTGAATATTCTGTGAATTAAGCTTTCTCATGTGGGACACGGTGAGTACAAAATCGTATTTAGAGGAAATCCTGCCCCATCATGTGCACCCTCACACAGGGAGAACGTTCCCAGCAAAAGATTGTCTTTCTATTCTGTCGTTTTCAGCCTCATGCAGCATCTATCAGACACAGAGCGTGGCTTCGTGAGACATAAAACTGGAGACTCTACGAAGGGATTACGAGTAATTGTTAGGGTGACATGTACATCCCACTAAAAGAGGTGCTCGACCAGAGACGGTACCTTTTGAACATCAAGGCGATGACGAAGTCGGGGTTCACTTTTATTCTCCAGTCGCATTCCTTCCCGGGAGGATATGGCTGCGGGTAGTTAGGCGATAAAATAACCCCGGCTGGGCCTGTCAGATTCCCACCACAGGCAGCTGTCACAGGGGAGGGACGTTTAGGAGAGACAAGGACGCTGGTCAGTGTGGAATGAGACATCCCAGAATCCATCACAGGGGCTGTGTGTTGGATTATGCAACAACAACCCAGGTGATGTTTTAAGACCCTGTACATTTTTCACGTAACTGGTAACACATTTTCTATAGTGCTCCACTCCCTTTGTAGGGGTTTCAGCAAGTTTTCAAATGGCTGGCAAATGAAATTTTCTTCCTATAATTTTAACCTTTGCCCCATTAAAGGGAGAGGTTGCCTTAACCCCCACCCCTATAATGCACACTATGCATATCCAAATACAGACAAACCCCCGTGGGCATGATCTCACGGCCTCTTTATGCTTTTGTCATTTCTTATGGTTCACAGGGTCATTGCTTGCTAATTCCTAAAAACATGCGTCGTGCTTCCAGTGGTCACCCCCAGGCGGCTCACTGTCACGTGTCTAGTGGCCAGTTTTGGTCATAGTAAGTGTTAAGGGTTTGCTGAAAATCAATCCATGTTATTGCATGCAGTCCTCACCGCCCCTGACATATGTAGGGCTGGGAATATATTCCCCCCGTTTCCCTACAAAATGCCGAAACTGGCACCATGTCTGAGTGACAGCTCAGCTACACAGCCCACGACAGGCCAAGCTGGAAAACTGACCTCTGAAACCATGCTCTGGTCACAAGGCTTAGTATACCAGTATCAGGAAGCAGCTTTGGGAGACTAATAATAGAGTTTGTTTTTGCAGGCATCACACTTTAATGAAATGTGTTTACATTTAAGTTAGTGAGGCAACGATGAGGTACTTCAATGTCATTAACAGGCAAGCCATGTGTGTTCTTGAACCTGAAAATGTTTAGGGCTGTTTCATTTATTAGGTAAGATTTCTGTTAAAGCTTCCATCACGTGGGAACTGTTACGGCCCTGCGAGGTTCCTAAGTATGCGCCTTTTGGATACACACGTTGGTAAGCTAGGCTGGGTGCACATCCAATACTGTGGCTTGTCACCAACCTGTTTTTAAACATCACCCCAATTAGATTATACTAGTTCCTCAAACTATGTACCTTCTTTCATACGATCGATCACATATGCATTTAGGAATAAAAAAAAAATGTGAGCAGAAAAGGAAATACGCTAATGGGTGATCTATTTCCACACACACACAAAATGACTTTTTGGTAAATGCTTCACAATTTTCTGTGATGGACATATATTTAAATACTCACTTAACCTTCCTGAAAAGTTAATTTTCATAAGAAGAACTATAACAAATTCCAGCACTTTTTGTCATAATCACTCTCATCAAAGGCAAGCTCTGAATAATACCACAGGAAATCTTTATAATAAGTTCTCCAGGTATACGCTCAAGAGTAAAATAATGCGATTTTCACAAAAAATGACTAAACCCCATGTCCCCTAGGATGCAGTTTCATTTTCATAAGTAGGCGGAAAGGGCTGTCTAATGGGCCCTCACAGGAAGCCCCCGACAGGGGACACAAGGGACAAGGACAAATGAGGGGGGTGGTGCCCAGGTGGGGAAAGGTCGCCAAGCCTCTGAGGAGCTCTACTCCGTCAGGTCTGGGAAGAGGGGAAATGACAGATTTGGGGCACGGGCTGCAGGGTGCTGCCAGCAGGAAGAGTTCAAGGATGAGACTCAAACACTGATTTAAAAGAAACAAAGAGGAGGCGGGTCTCTGCACCAGACCCCGGAGGCGTTTCCAAAGGAGGCTGTTGAAAAGCTTCCCGCTGAATTCCGGGCCTGTCTTGCAGGGCTTGTTCTCGCTGTTGGTCGCCTAGTCTTCATTTTAACTTCATTAGATTTTAATTGCAGAGCTTGCAACATATTTTGGATAGGATTAGAATTTAGTACAGAGTTCAAGTCAGACACTCTGGGAAATTCTCCAGAGGGAATGGACATGGAGATAAAATTCATATCAACCCACCATCCCTTATTCGAAACGCTTGGGGTCCTTCCCTGGTATGTATACAAGACTTTCATCCATCAAGGTTGGGGGTGCTACTCTTTAATGACGCACATCAATGTTTCTGCATCAAGACCTTTCAAATTTCACACCATTAAATGAGACAAATAGTTTGGAATTAGCCACCCTGTAGATCAGGGCGGGATGCTGCCACCAAATTAAGTTCTGCAAACTTGGGATAATTTTGCTTTTCAGAGCTTTTTAGAGCCTGGACTAGGAGAAGGGGGGTTGCAGGTTCTATGAGAAAATGAAAACTATGGAGATTTTTGAGGGACACTTTACTCAGAATTAGAAGACAGCGAGTGTCCTCTGCTTTGGAGAATCGTTTTTCTCAGACTCAGCTGAAAATGCCCAAAGGAGGTGCCTCCATCCTCAGAGTCCTTTGGGAAGTGAAGAAAAGTAAACAAAAGTGAGGTGTCCATGCAAACCAGAAGAAAAATGAGCAAATGACAAGTTGCTGAAAATGTGAGTGACATACAAACAAGTGAGAGGTTAAGTGATTTTATAAAAGGGTGAGGGGAAGAGAGAACAGCAAATAGGGGGGAAAATACATCAATAATACAAGGGTAAAAGGAAGTTAGCAGGCCACCAATCAGGAAAGAACAAATTCAAATGGCCAAAAAGAATATGAAATAAGTAAGAGCTGAACTTCACTATTAATTTAAAAAGCCAGTTAAAACACCAAGGAATCATGAATTTCTGCCCATATTAAATGACGAGATTAAGAAATGTCATCTATATGTGTTTTCTCTTGGTTGGGGGGAATAAACAGACATGCTGATGAAAACGTCAGTGGGTACAACCTTCCCCAAAGACTTTGGAACATGTTTTTAAGGTCCTAGAAATACATCAGTTTGCAGAACTAGGCCATTCACAACAGCGTTCACTGCAGCAATCTCCTAAAGGGAAGCGGTGACAACGTCATTGCACGGCAACAAGGGGTCAGTGGACAGGATGTGTGTCCATCCAAACAGAGAGACACCGTGCAGGCAGCAAACCATTGGTAGAAATGACAGGAAAACACAAGAAGATACTCATCCTGCACTGGGAAGGAAACAGTGTTGTTGACAAAATAAGCAGAATGCTATCATCTAAAAACATTTAAAAGATAGAGTACAAAGACATAAAGTAATTATGAAGTTTACTCATGCATGTTTATGTTAATAATAATTGCCTCCAGGTAAAAAGATGTCAGTGTTTATTTCTTTTTTAACTAAGCTTATGAAAGCTCTGCAGTGAACATGTATTTTTTTAAATAAGGAAAAAGCTAAAAAACATTACATTAAAGTGTCTCTAGTCAGCAGAATAGAGTTTATGTGAGTGCTAAATCATGGTCAGCTGATGCTCTGACGGACATGTTTCTTACAGAGGACATGAGACTCATTCCGGGAGGGAGAAAAAAAAAGAAAAAAAATGTTTTACAATGTAATGAAAAGATAACATTCACTTGTTCCCAAATATCCTACTTTTCTCTTACATAATGCTTCTGTGTGTAGCCCAGTCTGGTTGCCAACATAACTGATACCCAATTCCCTGCCAGTGATGTTAGCTTGTTCTTGCTGCTAATATTCAAGACGGTGGAAGTTTTACCTTCTTTGCTGAGGAGTGGATAACCTAGTCACTGGTCAAAATTAGGTGACTAAGAGATGAACCAGCAAAAGACTACAGATTAATTGAAAAGATGGTCCAATTTTACCCATTAAGTATTTAAATTAATGTCAACTGAGAAATTATTTTGAAGAGATTAACTGCTAGTTGCATTGCTTTTGAATGCACTCCCCCATGAGCTTAAAATCATGACAAACAGAGAAAAAATAGTGCCTTTCCTAGTTTAAAAACAGGCCAGTGGTTTAAAATGATTGGTGCATTTAAAGGCAATTACTCCACTTTAAAAGAGAAACACGTAGAAATCTGTGCAGTCACCGGATGACTCAGCCTGAAATAAAATGCATGACTTGCTCACACCAGTTAGAAAATGCAAACGCAGCAGAAAGCACCCAGGAACCCGGGCAGCTCTCTCTGGGGCACACCCAGCATGCTAAGGCCAGAGCTCACCCACCCATCTGCTCTGAGAGGAGGCGGGGCTGCACATCACAGCCGGAAGGGCCAGGCACGTCCTCCAGGGTGCACATGACAGAGGCACTCACTTCAAGTCACACAGCCCCCTCAAGGTCACCCTATGCAAAATGGCCCATTAGCTCTGTGCACAGCATTTCCTTACCACTGTCTCTCTTCACAGATAAATTACATTTTTCAAACAGATTATAAAGAAGTACAAATTGAACTGTGACAGTTCATTAAAATAATAAAGTTCAGTAGTTTCTTTTAAAAATTAAGATGAAATACTCTAAATAGGTATTTATGGTAAAATATTTAATTGAATGCACAGTCTGTGCGTGTAATTACTCTTTTATATAAAAACATGCATTCCCCTAATCATATTTGTGATACAGAATCTTGAATGGTTATTCAAACTAAAGTCTGCAAAACCAATTGTCATCCTCTTAATAAGGTCAAACTATACAACTTCTAGTGAATTTCAGGAATAACTTTCTCCTTTTATCTTCATTTTGACAAAAGCAATATAATTTCTAGTTTTCAGAATTCTATTAAAATGTAGTGGTATTACAGAAAAACCACCTAAAAAGAGAAAGTACTTTTTATTGAGTAGGTTACGCCTAAGGGCAAGTTTCTATATTAAAAATGAGAATAGCACTGGTAATATTATGCATTTTCAGCCACCTAGAATTTTAAATTACAGTAAATTGATTGATCCATATTTTTACAAGATTGGTGAAGGATAAGAAGTGTTAGATAAAAGTCAATTACTGTATAATAAGTAACCTATTTATTTCATTTTATCTAATAAAATAAAGTGTGAAGGTTTATGATAAAATTTCGATATAGCCTCAGAGAACCAGGGGGCATATAAGAAACCCTTAAGAACTATTTCTGAAGAAATAATGCATTTACAGAGCAATTTTAATGACATGCATTCGCCCCTAAATGTGGAATTTCTGTTTTCTGCTGCATGTTACCTATGCACGTAGGAGGGTCTGGTTGCCAGAAGAATCGGTTGTTGAGCTGCACACACGTGATTTTGGCTTGTCCTTGGAGCTGATATCCAGGGTCACACTGGAAGGTGACAGTATCTCCAGGCTCTCGACTGTCCCCGTAGCGCGTGCCATTCTGAGGCATGCCTGGGTCATTGCAGGTGGATGCCACTGAGGCTGCGAAGACAAGAGAACAGCAGATCACATGATGGGAACCTTGGTAGGACACTCCCTGGCTGCAGGAATCGTCTGTCCACATGTGAACCATGACGAGGCTTTGTTTTCCAGAGGATACACCCGATAGCAGGCACCTTGATGATGTTCACATGGAACAGATCCCAGCAAAGTGTTGGTGCAAATGCAGCTGATCATGGAATCTATTAACAAGTTGCATCACGCTCAAGTTAGCACGTACACACACACACACACACACACTTTCCCATCCGATTTTTTTTTGTTAACAATACTTTAATGAAAACGCACACCACAATTTAAATGATTTAACTGCAGTGCATCGATCTCAAGGAGCCTTGAGTAAAACAAAGCAGGACGGATTCCCTTAAGGGCCGTGCCTTCCAAGGTGCCGACCAGCTGAGGTGACCAGATGTGATGGGAGCCAGACGGAGGAGACAGGAGATGGCAGGTCAGCTTTAACCAGGAAGCCAAAGGCCCCCCTGGGTGCTGCTGCCTTTGCAAAACTGTTAATAACTCCTGTCATTCTCAAAAGAGGTCTCACTTGGAAATAACTTATATGGCACCCTATTTTAACAACAGCTCTGGAAATGGTGACGTTGTTGTCAATAAAAGTATTAGGAATTTGAAGTCAGGTTAATAGAGGCCAGCGTCCCCAGATGAGCTGGTTAGAGGGCTTCTGGGGCACAGCGGGACGCTGGACCGAGGCTGCGGCCATCCTGTGGAAAGCAGGGAGCACCTAAAATCAAGCCTCACAGGCAGGGGTGTGCCCCACCAGTGAAGATGCTGTCGCCAGATTCTGTACCAGAATTCCAGGTCCCACCGTCACACGGAAACGTCATGGCCTGACGCGTAGTGGTCTTGCCCCCAACTTCTGTAACTGCAACTCATATCACACTGCGCTATGCTACAACTTAGGAAGATACACAGGCGTTTCCAAAGCTGAGACATCAGCTTCGTGCTTTTCCATTTCCCTTTCAACTAGAAGAGTGAACGCGCTCTCTTCCTCCTCACGCGGAAGGGACTGTGAAGGAAAGTTCGCTTTCTCTCTGTGGAGTGCTCAGGGCACGAAATGCCCTGATGCATGAGAGAGAGGAAAAGGCTTGGCGCCTTGCCCCCAGGAACTGTCAGGCCGTCTATCCTAACATCGGCAGACTTACAGTGACGTGCAGGCTTTGCTTTTTGTGTTTTGAGTTTCCTGTTTCGTTTTGCTTGGGAAATTCGGGGGCAATGCTATGTATTTTCTAGATAGAAGACATTTGTTTAAATGAAAAGTTAGGAGGTACAGAAAAGCACAAGACCTGCTCTGGACTCTGAAGGGATTTTTAAGTAATAGGGGAGGCGGAGGACAAACTATGCTAGACAAAAGAGTGTGTGAACCCTGCAGATTAGCGGATCAGTGTCCTAAGAGACAGTGTCTCACGGTGCCAACATCACAGATCCTGGGGACTGGTGCAACCTGCTTCACCCCAGCTCAGCCCAACTGGCCTCAGGTCATTGTCTCCCTGACCCTCAGCCCACCCATCAGGACAAATGGAAACATTACCTGGTTTGTTACGTCCATTGTGAAAATGCTGCCTGAGAACTTGCCAGCCTCTCTCCCTGCGAGTCTCTAAGCTGACTGAAGGCAGGGGCTGCCTTCACTACGCCCTCTTTTCCTCTAATTGGTTATTATATATATTGAAATATATACCGATAACACAGTAAAAGCAATAAGACACATATCTGTGACATTGCTCAGACTGGAAAACAGGATACTGTAACTACAGCAACATTAGCAATGCGTGTCAGTGCTCTCCTCGCCCCACTCGGGAGGAGCTCACTGTTGTGAATTTCATTTTTGCTATTCCCCTGTATTTCTCAATGGTTACCGTAAACGTATGCATTCCTCCAGCAGCCATATCTCCTCCTTTTTGAATTTATATAAACAGAATCATACAACACAGATTCCTCTGTGGCTTCTTTTTTCTCAGTATTATGTTTCTGAGCCATCCACGTTTAGGTGTGATGTCTGGTCCGTTCATTTTCAGTGCTGTATAGTTTTTCGTTGCATGGATGAACTGCAGTTCACCCTTTCTCCTCTCGGTGGGAACTTGGGTCCTTTTTACTCTTTGCTCTTACGGAGAATGCTGCCATGGAAACCCCTGTACATTTTGCTGGCATGCATGTGCACTGTCTGTGCTCAGACACTTCAGGGATATCACCACTAAACAGCATGAAGTTGGGTTTTTTTCTTAATTCAATCAAAGAATCTTTTAATTGGATGATTTAGTCTCCTTATATGTTTCTATCTCCTTTATATTTTTCTCCTTATATTTATTGTGTTTTTTTGCTGCGTTTAGATTTATCTCGCCACCTTACCTTGTGCTTCCTATGAGTCTCCTTTTCCCTCCCTTTGTGCCTGCGCTTGTACGGATTCATCTAATTTTCTCATTTTCTTAGTGTGTATTTAGTATGTTCCTACATTACTCTCCAAACCTTAAAGACTTTAATTTTTATCATTCTTTCCCTACTTATGTGCTATTGCTGGCAAGTATCTCAGTTGATTTGTAAAAATCTTAAATTAGACATTGCCATCATTACTTTGTTTTTAAACCCTATAAATTACATATTATTATAGCTTTGCATATATATTTACCCATGTGTTTGCTTACTATTCTTTTTTTTTTTTAAGATTTTATTGGGGAATCAGGGAAGGGGAACAGTGTTGGGGAATTGGGGAAGGGGAACAGCCAAGTTGTTGTCCTTCAGTCGTAGTTGTGGAGGGCACAGCTAGCCCAGCTCCAAGCTCAGTCACCATTTGGCTGCCTGCAGGCAGCTCAGGGCAGCTCAGCTCGAGGAGCCGTGTTCAATGTCAGTTGTTGTTGGTGGAGTGTGCGGGGGGGGCGCAGACCACCATCCCATGTGAACGAGAGTCGAACTGGCAACCTTGTTGTTAGGAGCATGTGCTCTCACCAACTGAGCCATCCTGCTACCTGTTGGCAGCTCAGCGGCAGCTCAGCTCGGGTGCTGCTCACTGGCCCATGTGGGAATCAAACCAGAAGCGCTGTTGCTCAGAGTTTGTGTTCTTAACCAACTGAGCCACTCGGGCGACCAGCTTACTATTGTTTTTTCATTTCAGGCCTTTCATCTGGTCTAATTCTCCTATTTCCTAAACACACATACTTTTGCAAATTGCCTTCAGTGGGGAAGTGGGATGGTTCGGATTACTGTTTAGCAAATACTCATTCACGCCTCCTCTTCCTGTGGATGGACTGGGCCTCTGGTTTCTGTGGGCCCAGTCACGTGAATTCCTTTGCTCAGGGATATCCCAGAAGTTGTGACGGGGCACAAGTGGGTGTTCCCGCGATGACCCACTTCCCTTTCTGCCCTAACTGCGGGAAGACACTGCTGTCCTGGAACTATGAGAGGAGCACGTGCCCGTCAGCCTGCACGCCTGAACCCTGAGCGGGGCCACTCCAGAATTTAAACCCAGGTCAGGTGCAGACGTGCAGCCTGAAGTCGAGTCGTGGCCACGGACACACAGGTGTTGAAGTGTTGGGTTTGTTATTCAGCGGCAGCTGACTGATATGAGGCCCCGGGGTGGTAAACTGTCCCAGCTGCTTGCTTTGTCCAAAAATACCTTTAATTCTTTAAAAATATTTAAATTCTCCCTTAATCATACAGAATATTTTTACTGAGTTCACAGTTCAGGGTCAATAGCCGTTGTTGTTTTCCTGTCCACACTGGTAAGAAATTCTACCCATTCCGCTGGCTCCCAGTTTTCTTCCATCATCTCACAGTTGGAAACTGCTGTAAGATACTCGTTCTGTCTTTGACTTTAAAGTTTCACAACATACTGTCAATGTATGCATTCCCCTTCATTCCTAAAGGAGATGGAAGTTCACAATAGCGTGTCTATGTGCGCATTTTGTTTTATTGACCCTGCTTGAGACTCACTGGACTTTGGAACTGAGGATATGCCGTTACCTTAGTGAATGTCTCTCCCTCCTATTAATTATGCTCTCTCTTCTGGAGTTAAACTTTGATAAACGTCTGTCCTCCATGTCTCTTAACCTTGTGTTCATGTCTTAATGTCTTGTTTTTAATCTTTGTTCTGGCTCCTGGGTACATTTCTAGACTATATTTCTTTCTTAATCTGTCTTCATTTGCGTCCAATTATTGTTTTAACATGTCATTGAGTTTTAAACGTCCCTTCACTGTGCTTTTCTGTTTGGTATCATTTGACTCACATTATAGTCAGCCATTGGTACAGTGTATTATTATCTACTCATATTTTTATTCTTTTTTATTTCTTAAATTCTTACAGTGTGATCTGATAACAGATGCACTATTTCATAGAAACGAAGTACTTCGAGTCTTGAACCTGCACTTCTGCTGTTGGAACTTCACCTGTAGAAATTCTCTGCGGTCGGCTTTGAAGGTGTATTCATCCAGCGGGGTCAAATCTGACTTCACCATGTGCCTGGGACACTAGAACCTTCTACCTCCTTAAAAGGAATTCTCAGCTTGAGGTGTTTTGGACCACACAGATGGCGTGTGGTTATAAGTTCCATTTACCTATGTTTATATCTATGTCTATATCTATATCATATTTACATCTACATCTGTGTCTATATCTATATCATATCTCATTTTCTATCTCTATCTAAGTTATCTAGCTCTAGCTCTGTATCATCTATGTCTATATATCTGCCTATCCCTATCTTCGTTTATCTATCTGTCTACTCATCCTTATGTGGAGTGGAGATCCCCCTTGGAGTTCTGGCTGTGAACGAGGGTGTCCAATTATATCTCCAATACCGGAAAGGCCTTAGACTTTACTTCTTATCCCTTGGCCCATGGGACTCTCAAAAGGGAAGCTCAGTGTCACCAGGGACAACCGCCAGATGCCATCAGGACAAAGACAACTTCTGAGCTTCACAACATGTTCACATTCTTTGGGGATTCTGAGGAGTCCTCATTTTCTTGCGGACTCAGTGATA